ATGCACATTCCTGTGTGGGTGCAGGTGTGCACATGCACACACACACAAAAATGTCCCAAGACTGGTTGAATGTCACCATGCAGGGTGACAAATCCCTTTCGGTAGGTAAAAGGGATGCACTCCACCCCTCACCCATTGTGCCTCCACCACCACCCTCAGCAGACTCACCCAGCTGCTAGGACAGCTCTCCCAATGTGACTCACCTTAACTGCAGATGAAAAAGCATGTTGTAATCCAACAACCTCACTTCCGTACCTCAGACAGAGTTGACGGTTGCGTGAGGGCAAGCTGAATTTCATGTGTACACACACGATTTGTTACATACCAGCAACACGTTTCGCCTACCCATCCTGGATGAACACTGCCCTGGATTCTGTAGAAAGATTTAAAGATACACCCTTTGCTGTTTATACTCTTACCATGGCCATGATAAACTTAATCTGCATCTGTTTGTTGCCCTGTAAACTGACTTCCCAAATGCTAAAAAACCTAGCTCTGAGACAGGTGTAGAGGAAATCCCAGTAAACGTTCAGAGTGAATCCTCTGAAGACACACAAGCAAATCTCTGACAACTGTCGTTTGGTTTGTGGCAGGTTTTCTCTTCTACTACCACGTCCATAACCGACCACCACTGGACCAGCACATCCACTTGCTCCTGGTGTTCGGTTTATTTGCAGGGGGTGTCAGTGTCTTCCTAGAGGTGATCTTCCGAGACAATATTGTGCTGGAACTTTTCCGAACCACCCTCGTTATTCTTCAGGGAACCTGGTTCTGGCAGGTGATTATTCACATCAAGGCTCCTCTCGGGGTCTGGACGGAGGAGCCCTGCTGAAGACTTCTTGCCTGAAAATGCAGCACTGGCATGCTGTGGGAACGGGGTTAGATGGCCCTTTTCTCCCACACCCACCCCTTAACCTCTGTAATTTTGCCCGTTTACATCCCACTGATGCATTAACAGGCAAAAGTCCACAGAACGGACACAGTGAGCAAATCACACATTTCCCAGCCTGCCCTCCCCAGTGGATAGACTGACACCTTTTACAGGCCCCACCTGCCAAACTGTTCACTTGAAATTTGGACCCTGAAGTTTTGTTGTATTTTTAAATAAGCCTATACTAAAACCAAAATTAACTTAGAGCAATTTTCCTCCGTGAAAAGGCTTTTATATGCTAATGAGGTGTGGGAACTGTGAGGTCGTGGGGAACACAGGGGCCACTCTAGTGGCCACGGGAAGGCGGCCAGGTTGCTTCTCAGGACAACTAACCACAAGGCCAACTTTTCTGTATAATCCACCAGATTGGGTTTGTGCTGTTCCCACCTTTTGGAACACCTCAATGGGACCAGGACGATGAGACAAACATCATGTTCATCACCATGTGCTTCTGCTGGCACTACCTGGTTGCCCTCTGCATCGTGGCCACCAACTACTCTCTTGTCTACTGGTATGTCTGAGAGATTTTGTCCAGTTTTTTCCTCCTACTTAACCCCTAAACAGTACTGATTTGATTAACTTCTACCATCTAACAAGTGTCAACTATATGCCAAATTCTGTGCGAGGTACTCTCAACCCGCAGGGTAGGTACTACTACCCTAACTTGCAAAAGATGGTAAGGCTTTGTGAAGTTAAACAACCTGTCTGGGTCACAGTAACCTGAGACCCAGGTTTCAAATGAGGTTCTGACAGATTTTAAGCCTGTGGGTGTGGTGGGGGAAACTCTGACTTAGGCATCAGTGGCTGGACGGTAGCCCCTGCTATCACGGGTTCATTCTGGACCCATCATCTTACTGCTGGACTTGCCCTGCCTATTGCCTAGAGGTACTGCGACAATCGGAAAATAAACGAGAGCAGAAAGTGATCTCAGAGTGCTCTTTAGAGGCATACAGATAATAGCTGTGAATTCCTATGCGCTTGCTGCATCCCAGACCCTGCAGAAGGCACTGATGCTGTACTATGCTATTTAAACTTCCTTGCGTTAAGAAGAATATACTGTTATTTTTTTACAGATGTGGAAACCAAGGCTTCAAAATGCTGAGTAACTTGACCAAGGTCACTATCTACTAAACAGCAGAGCCTCCCAGGGCAGGGTGACCTTTAGTAACTGGTATTGCCAGTTTTGAGCACCCCTACCTTTTTCCTACGTCCTTATTCCCCTAGACCCAAAGCAGATACACTTTGCTCAGAAAGAGTCCTGCACAGACCAGTTTCTTTTGGTTCTATTGCCCAGCCAGTGAAACAGTAAACCAGAAAGAACCTTAGTTTTAATTATGACATTCAGTAATTTTAACCCTGAGTTTCTTTACCTACTAATGAATAGAATATTGTCTAAGAAGTCAGAGATGTAGACATGTAATCACAGTATTTGACAGAAACATAAAGAAAATGTTTTAAGAACCAGTAGATGCCTTAACATCCTTGGGTGAAGGAATGAGGGAATTTTTCTGGCTAATTCAATTGGCTCTTATTGCTTCTCAATAACTATAGCCTTTTGACTCGGATGAAGAGACACGGAGAAGGAGAGATCATTGGGATTCAGAAGCTGAAGTCGGATCACACTTACCAGACCGCCCTCCTGAGTGGCTCGGATGAGGAATGAGACTGGGCAGAGGGTGGACGTCCTCACACGGCTCGGGTGAAAGAACGTCACCCCTCCGCTTCAGTGCTTGCTGGCGTCTGCTCTGAAGGGTCTACATTTCCACATCCTCATTTAACACAAGGCTGAAGGTTCTAGTCAGGAAATTGGGCCTTCAGTGTTGTGTATATCTTGCTATTTGGATTTTTAAACATAATTTAAAGTCTATGTTGCTGTAGTATCTTTCATAAAGAAAAATGAAGTAATACCCATAGGCAGCAAGCCTTTGTGTCTCCAGTGAGAAATCAGAGACTCTCATAGCTTTAGAGCAGGAAAGGCCCTCATGGATGAGGCCAGGCTATGGACCCGGCAGGAAAACTTACTGCTTTTGATAGCCTCCCCCTTTCTCT